GTTCAAACTTATTGGAAGGAAATGGCTCCGGTTTGTGACCTGGGCGGTACGGTATCTATGGAATCTTTCTAAATACCACGATTTGGACTTTGGCCATACCGCCCAGCACCAGTTCACCAGTGGTTCTACACACGTCTCTTGGGGTTGTGTAATTATATGATGCTGTTGTTGTTGTTGCTCTATTGTTTATATTATTTGAACACAGGTTCTAGGCTCTTATGTAGAGTTCCCACACACACCCTCATAACTGTAGACGATGAAGTTGGTGTGTCCTGGCGAGTGAGGGTGGTCGTTCCTATCGCCAATGACGACCGTTAGCGTGCCGGTGGAGCTCATTGGAGGAGAGCCGCTGTCAATCATGAGGATCGGGAGGCGGTACTCCTTCTGCCGCTCGCGGTCGAAGGTCCGGAGGGCGGTGACGGCCGCGCTGCCGTTCCGAAAGTCCGTCAGGTTGAAGTTGGTGGCGTCCGAGGTGAGCATGAGGAGCCGTATGGAGATTGGCGCGCCGTTGGCGGAGGCGTCCTGGTCGGTGGCGTGGAGGAGCAGGGAGGTCTCGTTCATCCTGACCGCCTGCGGCGCAGGCGCGTTCTCCCAAACCACCGGCCCGTAGGGGACCTCAAACTCCGGCCCGTTATCGTTTACGTCCAGTACGGTTACCATGACGACGGCTGTGCCGGTCATGGGCGGGCCCCCGGCGTCAGTGGCGAGGACCACGATCCGGTGCTGCGAGGTTTTCTCCCTGTCAAGGGAATTGGCCACCACCACCCAACCGGACTGGTCCACCAGGAACTGACTGTAGGGGTCCGACTCTTTCAAAATGCTGTAGGAAAAGCGTCCGTTCTGGCCCGAGTCCAGATCAGAAGCCGTAACCTGAGCAACGATTGTCCCCACGGGAACGTCCTCAGACACGGCCGCCGACTCATAGAATTGCGGCAGAAAGACAGGCGCGTGGTCGTTGGTGTCCTCCACCTGAACGAGACAGTGGGCCAGGCTGAAGAAATCGGCGTCTTCGGCCTTCAGCGTCAGATTGAAAGTCCTCTCGCGGGGCTTCTCGAAGTCCACCTTCTTCTTGAGTTTCATCACGCCGCGACGGTTCACCTTGTCCGTTTCCACGAAGAACTTCCGGTCCTCGTCGCCGCCAACGATGCTGAAGGTCACCATAGCGTTCTCTCCCTCGTCTCCGTCCGTGGCGGACACTACCAGGACCTCGCTGTTCACCTCCAGGTCCTCCGTCACCTGAACACCAGAGAAGAAAATCCAGATGATGACTTTTACACCTTCAGCTTTTGTTCACTATCGACTGAGCCACATGTGTAAACCCAACATACACAATTTACTTAAATGCCCAAACAATTGCATAACGATTCACGACCAACGGGCCAGAGGCAGGCCGGGGGGGAAACGGGGGAAACGGGTGAATCCCGGTGGGCCGCTTCACTTCTGGGCCGGTCGAGAATTACATTTTCTGACATTTGTCACGTTAGTCCATCTTCTCTTAAATGAGGCGTCACACGTTCCGCATTCTGATGGAGGATGGACGGAGACCAGGAGGGGCTGAACAAAAGAAAGACATTGGAGGAGGATGCTGCCGAATGTGCCGAGCTTACCGATTTATTTTAAACTGGTAAAGAGACACAAGCCTAACGATGAGCAACGTAACTATTCGGCTAACGTTGTAGGATGGAAAAAGTGGGCCGGTCTCGAAATTCCGGGCTGAAGGAAGTGTCACAACTCTCTTTTCCCGTCTCTCTGCAATGGGCCCCTCGCTGAAATAATGTTGGGATGAGCAGGAACTGCTGGATTTGAAGTTTACATTGCAGACATCAAAGTGAAGAACATCACATTGTATTTTAAGCGAAAAGCAGATGAAGACAAAGAGGAATCAGGTGAGGGGGATTTGGAAGTTTCTTCACAAGATTTCGAGCTACCAGAAGAACTGAGAAGAACCTTAGCGAACCGGCTACGGCCACGACTTCAACGTCCACTGGAGCCGGCAGAGGGAGAACATACAGGCCTATGAAAGCAGCCGGGCAACAGATGTCCTTTGCATTTAGGCGCAGTATATGCAGAACATTTGTTAATTAAACGAATACAATAAAAAAAACACCGTCCTCCTAAATGTCTCTGTGTGCTCCTGAATTCTTTCGTTTAGCAGCACATGTTCCCCTTTGGTAAAACATTGGCGAAGAGTCCTGCCCGTCAACACATTGACTCATTGTTTACAGTTCCAGGTTCGACGGTTCGACGGTTGGTCGTCTCACCTGAGCGCTGTAGAGCCTCTGGGTGAAGACTGGTGGGTGATCATTGACGTCTGAAACCGTGATGGTGGCCGTCCCCGTCCCCGTCAGACCGCCTGCATCCCGAGCCTCCACCACGACCAGATACCGCTCCTCCGCCTCCCTGTCCAGCGACCGCAGCACCGTCTGGATGGTGCCCGTGCTGGCGTTGATGGAGAACAGGTCGAGGTTGATCTCGTTGCGGACGTTCTTGATGATGCTGTAGGTCAGTGCGGCGTCCTCGCCCTCGTTGGGGATGTCCAGGTCCACGGCGCGCATCTCCATGACGGATGTGCCGGCGGGCGAGTTCTCGGCCACCCGGCCAACAAAACACCCGTCCGCCTCCAGCGCCGGGCACGGGAAGAAGGGCGCGTTGTCGTTGACGTCCGTGACCTCCAACAGCACGTCGGCGAACCCCGTGAGTCCCGACCCTCCTTCGTCCGTGGCGAGGACGAGGAACCTCCAGGCCGGGCGCTCCTCGCGGTCCAGCCGCCGCTGAGCGAAGATTCTTCCAGTGCGCTCGTCAATAGTGAACTCACCGCCGGCGCCCTGGCCATGGAGGGAGTAGCGCAGGGCGGTCTGGTCGGCCTCTTGGTCCGGATCCACAGCCGACACCTGCAAACGACCAGCAGACATGAGTCTGCGTTCCACCACACAAACGCCCGGTTGGCTGTGACGGTTTGTTTCGATGGTCCAAGACGCCACGTTGAGGCAACTTAATTTATGCACCTTTTAAGGGCGCGGATAAAAAAAAATCAGGCAGGTCCTAAAGTTTAATTTAAAACTTTCTAATCTAAATAGATTCATATTTTGAATCTCCAAAGCTATATTTACTTCATGCACTCGCTTAACGGGACCCCCCCCCCCCACAGGAATAAACATTTCTCTGTTTTCACTTTGTCCCGTTTGCTTAATCAACCCGCCGTCTCTCACAGCAACGCCGGCCCTCAACATCTGTCGCAGGGAGAAGTTAAATGTTAATGATGTCAGCAGAGGAACGTTTTCAGACGTTCTCACGGAGAGCTTGTTCACAGGAGCCCGACTCCCCGCGGCGGAGGTCGGCCATATTGAAGATCAGCCGAGAGGAAGCGACGGCGCAGGTGGAGTCAATGTCGATATCTGCTGAAATTGAGTTAAACACGGAGCTCAAGCAGAGAGCGACCGAGGAGAGGAACCGAAACACGTCAATCACTTCAGCAGTGGATGACGGGGGGGCGACTACTCCACCCACCTCCACCTCCCAGACCTGATTCACATCACTGAGAATCACAGGAGAGGTACAAGAAGAAGAAAAAGAAAAGGAGGAAGAAGAGGAACCAGAAAATAAGGAGGAGGAACAAGTAAAAGCGTAGGAAGAAGAAGCATCAGAAGAAGGAGACAAATAAAGGGCAAGAAGGATTATCAAGAAGAAGAGGATGAGGAAAATGGAGAAGAAGAGATGAGGGTTCTTAGCGGTCTCCACCAGAGGAGCTCTCACATGTTCAAATCAAAACCACATGGGGCCAGTGAGCCCAGTGAAACCAGAACCTGAGACCACCGACCTCCAGCACCTCCACGGGCAGCTGGCTGAGCTCCTCGCTCACGGCGGCGCGGTACTCCGTCCGGCTGAAGACGGGCGCCTCGTCGTTGCGGTTCCCCACCTGCACCGTCACCAGCGTCTCGTTCTCCCACTTCCCGTCGGAGGCCACCAGGCGGAGCTCGTAGCGCCGCTCCGTCTCGTAGTCCAGCGGCCGGCCCATGAAGACGGCGCCGACCTCGGGCTCCACGTGGAAGGCGCCCATGTGGTTCCCAGAGGTGATCTGGTACCGCAG